GCACGGCTGCCACGGTGGGCTGTGGCACCCTACCACCCCGAAACGCCTTCCTTGAAATCATGAACGTGGGCACGCCCGAGGAAGCGGTCGCTATGCTGGGTGAGGCCTTACCCTATATCTGCGACGTCTACGGCATCACCCAGGAGCTCTTTGCCCAGCACAGGCTGCTGGACCTTCCTTGATGGGAGGGACACCGCATTCTGACAGATGTAGGATGAACCGGGGGAAAACCGTGTTTTCACAGGTGCACAAGCGTCTGCTTCTCCGTCTGTGGTCGCTCTTTCCTTTGCCAACTTGTCAGCTCCATACTGGAAAAGCTATTCAGGATGCCTCACTTTATAAGAGAAAAAAGTACCAGTTTTTTTAATATGCATATCTGTGTGTGTAGAGTCTCAGCTCTACAGTAAGAAAAAACCCCACTATTAGCATGCTTAAGAGATTTTGTTTTTCGTCCAGGATTCACCTTCAACTCTCCAGCTATGCTGGGATGGGGGAAGGTGTTGGTTTCTTTTTTAAGCTAAACGCTGCAACTTTGGCAGCTTCTATGCGTTTACACCAACAGTCAGAACCTCATGTGACAACGCTACTTTCAGATGTGGAGTCTGAACACATTTACACTAAATGTGAGCTCACTTTGCCACTTTTGCTTACAAGCTGTTCCCCTGGAATAGATCTGGGGGTTTTCCCCTCTGTTATGCTTTAACCTTGAAAATATAATCCTGAGTAATGCGTGTCTGAAAGGCAGGCTCTTTTCCTTGTGGTCACAGACTCATTTGATTACTGCTGCTAATTCTGTCTCCCCTAGAATTAAGCAAGGAAATGGTGGTGTATGTCATTAGTGTAAGAGACTGTTCTTCCTGTGTGCATGGATCCATTAAGCAAGACCTTCCTTCTGTGTAGCCTCCCCTGCCCATTAATCTATGCTTTATGCATCTTGGGCTGTGGAACAGCTTTTAGTATGCATTGCACAATCCTATATATCCAGCTAAGGCTGCAGACTGTACCTTATCTGTTTTCCAGCTGTGCTCCTAAATTGTGTTCTCATGTTGGTTTTCTTTTTTTAATGAATGTGTCAAATGCCTACACAAAAATGCCTTCTCTGACTGTCTGTGGAGAAATCTGAACTTGTACTGTAAGTCACGACTTTGTGAGGTTTATGGCTTGTATTCCAAATCACTGTATATAATAGCTGGGGGGTGTGTATATATATGTACACACACCCCCACACACGCCCCAAAGCATGTAAAATGAAGTTTACTTAGCTTTTTGAAAGCTGAAAAAGCACTATGTCGTTAGCTCAGGATGACATGGATATTTGGGGGAGGAGGGAGAATCCCACAAGCTGTAACATGTTTTGATTGTATCTCAGAGGGCATTTTGGCCTAATGTAACACTGCGTGATTCAGGAAATCACTGTTACCTCATGGAGATTAGACTAACTGGACATTAAACTACACAAAGAACATGCTTCTGAAGAGTATTCTTTATAGGAATGTTTTGTGGTGTTGGAAGGAACATGATGTATAGCGTTACCTATTCATATCTTGTCTTTCACTAGCAGTGTTTCATTTACCTAGTGATCAAATGTGAAACCAACCGTCAGGAGTAACCCAGGTGAAGTTAGATGCTGTGTACTGAGCTTCTGTTCTGATTACTCACATCTGTCAACACTATCTTTTGCCAGAAAATAGGAAATGGAATTTCCTTGAACATCCTAAATGCAGGTTTAGTTGCTATGCTGTGAAAACACAAATATCATTCCCTTTCTGCTACGGCCACCTTAAAATGATTACATAGTCCCATACGACAAATCCATATATTAAAACAGAGCAGTTCCACATTACAAACTACAAGATGCTGGACCTCCGTTGCTGTCTGATATAGCTGGTGTTTCATCTGTGTAGTGTATTAAATGCCTTAAATTATGTCAAATAATATTGTGTATCAGTGGAAAAAATGCTTTGGATCTGCTGAGGTTTAATGCAGAAATGGTAATACAACCAACCACGTGGGAGAGTTTCTTTTTCTCCCTTGTCACATTCATTTTCAGCTATTCCTCTTAACGAGATAAACATTAAAGTTGAAGATAAACTTAATTTTTTGCCATTAAAGAATCAAACTTTCTCAGTAGGGAAAAAAATTTGTTACAAGTTTATAACGAATCATTTTGTGCAAAGTATGCTTCAAGTAAAATACAGCTTTCCATCAGTCTGCATGTTCTCATTTGAACAAGGCATTGCCTTGTAATTTTATTTTCCTAGTGTCCTGCTCTGTCTCCAAACTGATGGAAACCTTTTTAACAGCCCCAGTTAATTAACACTGAGTAAAACTAAGGTCCTGCACTTGGCTTTGGGCAAGTTCAGAGTCTGGCAGCTTTCACTAATGGGCCAAATTCAGAAGAGTAAAGCCTTCACCTACAGCTGTAACAACACAAAAGTCCATCACAAACTATCTCCTATGCCACAGTAAGCGTGCTTGATTTCACATGAAAGTATGGATGGGAGTATACAATTGCCTGTGTGTGACTTCTACATCATTCAAACAGCTTTTTCCCCCCGGGCTCTGTGCAGTGGAATTTGTATTTAAAACTTTTTAGAAGAAGTTACATAGTTAAAGGTAACACTTGAATATTCCATAACAGGGAAGGTACCCTTAAAAGGATGTCAGTATAAACATATCGATATAACGTAGCTATAGAAACCCAGAACTGTTGCTTGCCTGAAGTACTCATATACTTAACTTTCTACAGTGTATCTGCTTCTCTTCATACATGGAAAAATATTCTACCCTTGTAGCAAAAGTGGTATATCACTTTGGCGGTATAAGCAGTTTTTATTGTACAGTATAAATATATAATAAGCCATTAAAATGCAGTAAAATTGAACTTTCCAATTCAGAGCTATCCTGTTTCCTAAAATTCAAACTTGACAGAAAAAATGCAAACCATGAGGCAACCTAAATTACTATGCTGTGGAACTTGTACCTAAACCAAAGTTTTTAAACCGAAGTTAACATTATAGCTCAGTGTGAGAAAAATTTACATCAGCCAGTAACAACTTCCTAAAACCAGCAGTATAGCTGAGTAACAGCTCACCAACCTTGCAATCTAGGAACGGCCTGCTCCAGACAAGTTCTTGCGATGCACTGAGGAAGATTTGGTTATCTCCATGACGAGGTGACCTTGAATTTAAAAAAACAAAACAAAACCAAACTAAAAATTACTGCTGTGTAAGTGTCTTACCGCTACCCTTTAGCTCAGGCAACTCAACATAATACTCTGAAGTTCATTTAAAAATAAACTACATGACGTTCTTTCAGCGCAGGCCGCTTCTAAGTAGGGAGGATGCCAAGTGAATGCTTGGATCAGAGACAGCCTGGGAGAACCTCAGGTAACAGCAGGTAGCAATGCTGGTAAGCAAGTAAATTTTTTTTCTCCTCAGCCTCCGTATGGGTGACGGTTGTGTGATGGTAACAGGCACCATTCTCCACAAGGCACACTTCAGCTTGTTGGATTCTGCTCCTATCAAAGCGCGTTCTCCTTGGCGATGCTTTTAGATGAGCAACCTGCAGTGATGAAGATCTGCTCCCAGCGTTAGACAAGTCACAAATCCCGTTGTTTGTGAAGACTGTAAACAGGGACAGTTTCTACAAACAGATTCCATTAAAGACGTCGTTTCTCGTTTGGGTGGGGGGTGGTGGTGGTGGGGAGTTAATGCAAAAGACATGTGTCCAAATTGGGGTGGGGCACCCGAGTTTACCACCTATCCTACAGGAAGTCCAATTTCCAGAGCTGTGACAACGAATTCAGTAAGTCGCTCTGCTTGAGTAAAGGCTACTCACTGAGTAAAGGAAACCAGGATGAGGCCAGTGGTTTGCAAACAAGTACACTCATAGGGTATTGCTGTGTATTTGACTATTGCCCACTAAGCACAGAGTTACAGATTTAATGCATTTTGCTAAACAAATTCTTCCCCATTATTTTCCCACTAAGCACAGTTACAGATTTAATGCTTTTGCTAAACAAATTCTTCCCCATTATTTTAATCTCTCCAAGTTCTATTTAAAGAGACCTCCCAGGAACTGACGAGACTGGATCCTCTGCCCTGTTCCCTCTCCTACATTCGCTTCGAGATTTCTTTGAAACATTTTCCCCAAAATAGACAAAGAATGGTCCCTGACCTGCTGCTGTGCTTGAGCTTTGGTTATGCAGCAGCCCTCAAACCCACATGCCTATCAGCTCAGTTTAGAAGGCCTGGTGATTATATCATAGGAGGCTTGTTCCCTTTTGGAACGGACACCATAAACCTGACGGCGCGATCAGAGCCCACATTAGTTGTGTGTGACAGGTAAGAGGAATGTTAGCTTCGTTAGTACATGTTAAGTTTGGTCACTTGGGCTGGGGAGAGAAAGGAAAAGAAAGTAATCCTTCTGATAGCAACTGATGGTCTCATAGCCGAACATCAAAAGCCGAGATGGAAAGAAAGATGAGCTCTAAGGTGCCAGAGCGCTGGGGTACTCTGCCATCAATTTCTGATCCCAAAATAGAATGGTTTTGTGTTTTCTTGATGCATAGTCAAACTTCAGAGGAGACCAACCCCATTTTGATGAAAGCTTTTAGTGGCACGGGCTTCCTTAGTGTTTTGAATCTAACACAAGGCAAAGCAGGAAACAAAATTACCGGGCTTGCAGGCTTGCCAGTGTGCGATCAGTATTTCCTACTCGGTTACACCAAGGTGGTTCACACCATCATGTTACAAGCTACCTACAGCTCTTTGTAAGGAGAATGAAAAGACATGCTAGTGTCCTACCTGCTTCTTTGGCAGCAACAAAGCACAGAAAAGCATGGTCCAAAAATCCTTCCATCTTCGCAGGCCGTCAGGCAGGGAGTACGCCCAGTGCACCAAGCTGTACAGCGGAGGAAAATCCCGGGAAGGAGGAGATCTCTCCTGAATTAGCATGCACAGCATTTTGGGAACCACTGGCTTTATGGCTGAAGTACACAAAGCTAAGAGCAGGAGATCGTCTTGAGTCTTGACCCTCACAGCTAAACATACTGGTCTCTCTATACCTCTGTTTCTTCTCCTGTGAAGCACAGAGGATACAGTTGCTGACAGATAAGATTAATTAGATTTGAAAGGTGCTCAGAGCCTCTCTACTCACAGTACAAAATTTACAAAGGCTATGGGTACAGGGATGCTCTGCTGACAGTGCCACATCTATCTGACTTGGCAACAGATAGGATGCTAAAACATCAAAGAATGTGGAATAAGCTGATCACCATTGTAACAGCACTGACACACCCTGTAATTCCCCGTCTCCTCTTATTGCAGGTTATTTGTAGATGGGCTAATATGGGCTCTTGGGATGAAGTTTGCTATCGATCAGATCAACAATTCCACTTCACTTCTCCCAGGAGTAAAGCTGGGCTATGACATGTATGACACCTGCTTTGAGCCAGTGGTGGCCTTACAGCCCAGCTTGCTATTTCTGACCCGAAACGGCACGACGAGCATTGGAGTACGGTGCAACTACACTGACTACCAGCCTCGTGCAACTGCCGTGATTGGACCACATAAGTCAGATCTTTGCCTGGTAACAGCCAAACTGTTCAGCTTCTTCTTGGTCCCACAGGTAAGGAAACTCTCTGGAGAAGCAAGAATTCTCCTTTTTGGTGGGGGAAGGGTTTGGATTAACAATGCTGTCGATGCTCTAGGTCTTTGAACCAGGACTGCTAAAGTGCAGATTCCAGTCTTTCCTCTGCCACACATCTCCTGAGTGATCTTGGGTAGGTCACTGAACTTCCCTCCTGGAATACGCTCCAGTGTTTAACTTCCCAGAGAGAAGAGGCATAACTCAGACTGCTCTATGTTATTCCCATGTAAAATGGGAATAACAGAACTCCCAGCGTAAACCAGGAGGATCCCATGAAAATACATCTGTGACTAAGAACTCAGTTACCATAATAGAGCGAGCTATAATGGTCAGGTAAATTTAGTCCTGAGCTAAGATATTACTGAATCTTGGGTGTGTCACCCTTTGTAGAAAGTAGCTAATTATCACTGTCGTTAATGATAAGGGCTGGTGCTGTGACGATGGACACAAATGGTAGTGGAAGGAGATAGCCATGTGGGACAGTGCTACTGGAGGCAAGTGACGGGCCAGTTTATGGTTCTCTAGGTAAATGCAGCTATGATGGACCTATGCCTTTAGATGAGTTCTTCCTTCCCACTATCTTGACCCAGCATTTTTGAAAATCTAGTGCACTGAGACTAAGCAAAGAAGGTGGAGAGCTATCTGGACTGCGAACACGTCCCTCAACTCTATATCCTCTAACATGCAGGTCAGCTATGGAGCCAGCAGTGAGAAGCTCAGCAACCCGGAGTTGTACCCATCCTTCTACCGTACTGTTCCCAGCGATAAGAACTTGGTGGAAGCTGTGGTCCTGCTACTGAACAAGTTTGGATGGAACTGGATTGCCACTATCGGAAGCGATGATGAATATGGCCGAGGAGCCATGGGGCTATTCTTAAGCTTAGCTAGAAATCACAGCATCTGCATTGCGTTCGAGGGGCTAATTCCTACAGACCTCACAGACCCCAAAGCCAAAAACCAACTGGAAGATAGCATTAAGTTAATTAACAAGACCAAAGTCAACATCATTGTCCTTTTTGCCTTTAGTCAGCCAGCCCAGGCCCTGCTGGAACACAGCATCAGAATGGGACTGGGCAAGAAAGTCTGGATCGGCACGGAAGCCTGGATGTTGTCTGACATAGTTGCCTCCATCCCAAATATTCAGAGCATTGGGACAGTCTTAGGCCTTATTATGAAAGCAGGCATAGTCCCTGGCTTTCAGAAATACGTTGCCGACCTCTTTACTTCTGTTCAGCATGTCAGGAATCTAGAGAATTCAACCACCTCATGAACTCTGACATGCTGGATACACATTGCAAAGAGTGTGACCACATCTCGCTGCATGACATCTCGTTCACACTAAGCCGCTCACAAATACAACCAGTGTACGTCGCAGTCTACAGCGTGGCTTATGCACTGCACAGAGCGCTGGGGTGCACCCACCAAGCGTGCCCCAAGGCATCCATCAGATCTTGGCAGGTGAGTAAAGGTCAGGGGGACAAAGAGCAATTTTTAATCCAATCTAGGCATCAGAGCTGCACACAGCCAGACGAGGGGAGAGGGGTAACATCGCACTGTGCTCCTGCCCCGGCCCTGGTAGGGATACAGCCTCGGCCATTCCCCCAGGTAGTCAGCCCCTACACCAGCACACTGCACCTTCTCTGCTGCTGGCTAGGGCTGCATTCCCCTCTCCAGGGCTACGTGCTGGCTCCCACTAATTGGGCTTGGCACAATAGATAGAGCAGTTAATCATACAGTCAGAAAGCCGGTAGTTGCAGTCTTAGCCCACGTAAGAGACAGGTGATTTCAGCCAGAAATTAGCTTACTGCATTATCATCCTCCAAGCAGGAACATCAACTGTACCAATATTTACTGTCAATTTTCATTTTCTCCTCAGCTGCTGCACTTCATGAATACCCTCCCGTTCAAGGTGAACGGCCAAAGTTTCAGGTTTGATCAATCTCATGGCACAAACACTGGCTACAAGCTTATATTCTGGTCCTGGAAAAATGGCACCCTTACGTATCTGACTGTAGGCGACTATGAAGAGACCTTGTATATCAATAAGTCCCAGATTCAGTTTCACACTGCAGATCAAAAGGTAAAGACATAAACGACCACAAAATGAAGCAAACTTTTTTGCCGCTTCGCCAGGAGCTCTTAGCCTGCATGCTATTCGTACAAGATTTGCATGGGACCCAGTTCTTGCTCTTCTGCAAACATGTAATCCATCTCCACTGTGCAAAACTAGAAAAAAGTATTCCCAGCACTGTTTAAGATTCAGATACAGGTTTGATCCCAGCACAGCACAGCCCATTTCTTCTCATCTGTTTGGCGATACGGTGCTTCTGAAAGCGTCTGGCTGACATTTATTCTTCCTTTTGTCTAGGAGCCTACATCAGAGTGCTTCAGACAATGTAAACCAGGACAATTCAGACAAATAAAAGGGTTCCACCTCTGCTGCTATGACTGTACAGATTGCCCAGAAAACACCTTCTGGACCCCCAAAGGTGAGGTCTGAGAAATTCAATGGCTTTAACTGTCTCTATTACATCTAACGACTGGTTGACACAAGTTCACAGAACTGGTAACAACCAGTTGTGAGCTCTTCCTCCATGAAGCACTGCCAGTGCAGAGTATTTGCCTCCCTTTTGTTCTGCTGTGCATTGCTCAGTCTTGCTCTACAGATCTGCAGGGAGGGACCTTCCTCTATTGATCCCACAGAGAATGCATAAGGACAATACGTATGTTTTATCTCAAGAGGTAGGAGAAAGGGGTATGATGAAATTCTGGGATCATAGGTAGAAGAGAGGTATATGATGAAATTCTGGGATCTTTTGGAAGCTGGTCATCCTTCCTGGGGAAGGGAGGCAGAGCCAAGACATATGTGGATCCTTTTGGGGGAGGGTGGAGAAGTAGAGGGGAAAAAAAGAGATCTACCATAGGCTTTGGAGATCCAAAACACTTACGAAGGGGGGTGGGGGGGAATTTAAGCAAAGCAGCACCCAAACCAGCTACCTACTTCATGACTGTGATCCATCCTGAAGGACTGCCTGCAGCAGGGTAGCAGTACTCCACTGCAAGGTGGTCACCAGCTTCTCACTGCTACTTTGCAGACAGCTCCACTTGCACTCCCTGCCTAGAGCATCAGTGGTCCCCTGCCCGGAGCACACAATGTTATGACCGCAGCGAGAGATACCTCTTTTGGAATGAGCCGCTCACCATTGCCTTGCTGATATTGATGTCCATCACCGTATCTCTGATTTGTTTGACAGCAGTGGTCTTCTTAAAGAACCTCGAGACTCCCCTTGTGCAGGCTTCCGGAGGCAAACTGAGCCTCTTTGCCTTGTTCACACTCATGCTGCTGTGTCTCAGCTGCTGTCTCTACATAGGCAAGCCCAGTAACAAACTTTGTGTGATCCAGCAGATAGTCTATGCTCTGTGCCTCAATGGTTGTTTTTCTACCTTCTTCATCAAGTCCCTTGAGATCACCCTTGTGACGGAGTGCCCTCACTGTGCCCCCATCTTCTTGTCCTGGGTGATCCAGAGGAGGGCCTGGCTCCTGGTTGCTTCATGCCTCCTCACTGAGTGCTTGTTCTGTTTCTGCTATCTTCACTTGGGTCCTGACTATCTCCTGTGTGACTACAAGTCACTGCCCACTGAAGTTCTACTCGTGTGTAACACAGAGTCCTGGTTTGCCTTTGCCCTGATGCACGGCTACAATAGCTGCTTAGCCTTTGTCTGCTTCTTGTGCACATTCATGGTACAAACTTCTGGTAAGAAATACAATATTGCCAGGGGCATCACATTTGCCATCCTAACCTATTTCATCATCTTGATCTTCTTCATTGCTATTTTTGCCACGCTGAAGACAGTCCTCAGGTCTGTTACTCAGATCGGTACCATTTTGACAACAAGCCTGGGTATCCTGGGGACCTACTATATCCCTAAATGCTACATCATCTTGCTTAAGCCTGATCTGAACACAGTGGATTATTTCCAGAATTCCATCAAAGAGGAGCCAGAGGAGGACTCAATAAACAGACAATAAACCAGATCCCTTCTCACCTGTGCCTCAATAGAAGCTGGCTGTATTTTAATGAGGTAATTCTGTTTATGATGACTCTATAAGCTATGGTCCCAGACACAATCACCGTATAAAATACAGCCTTATCCAGTAGGTTGAACATTAGGAGCAGAATTTTTAAGCTGCAAAAGCACAGGGCTCTACTCAATGAGCTAAAGGAAAATGCCCTCATCAGAGTAGTATCCATCCTCTCTGTAGCAACCCACCTGTTTCATCGTCCACAAGGAGCCAAAAGCAGGTTCAATTAAGCAAGCAACCTACAGTACTGATATTTCATATGAAACTCTCAGGTCTGGCAATCTGAGCTAGAAGCCTCACCCAGAGTGCCTTCCTGTAAAGACTGCTGGTAATTTCCACTTGTTAACTAGATAACTGCTCCAGACAGATATCCATGCATCCTTTCCCGGGCTTTGTAAAAATATATATTCAATTTTGTAAGAAAATATATTCAACAGCATAGAAATAGTAACTAGAAAAACAGAAAGGAATCATCTGAAAAAGCGTGAGATTACAGACCACAAATAGAAATCCTTGTGATTAACTAACAATACTGAGTACCTGTCTACACGGGATCCTCTACAAAGACCTTCTCCTAGTGAGCAACATCAGGAAACAGAGCTCCTATGCAGATCTCCTCCTGTTAGATACAGGAGGTAGATGAGGAGGGGGAGGTAATAAACAGAGGGAACTAAAGGTCCTGCGCGCTGCTCTGTATTTGTGGTCTGTACACATCTACGCGTGTTTGTGCACTTGCTTTATTAAAAGTGGAATCAATGACACCCTACAGCTCTGGGTCTCTTTTTTAATGGTTACGTCAATGCAAACTTTTCACCATCTAGGTTGTGAAGCTGTATGGTTCTAACGGCCACCAGCATCCTTAACACAACCCTGTAAAGAAGATTCTGTGATGGAACATACTGATCCTCCGGGCTGCCCTCTCTTCTATTTAAACATAGGAGCTCCCACTGATCAGTATGGCACTAAGTTTTGCTCATTTTTGATTGAAGTTTAGAGGATACCTGGAAAGGTATACATGAAGTTAAGAACATAGGCGAAGAGTACACAAAGAAATTGATAGGTCATATGCAAACTGAAGTACAAGGAAACAACTGTGTTCAGATCAAGAAGGGCTGATTGTTTCAACTCTTAAATAAAATAAAAGACTGAAAGGCTAAGCAAAGCTTCTGATGACAACCATTGCTCTTCTAGTTCGTGATAGCATCAGTACCCTGCTGCAGCATATTAACTGAGAACTGGTCCTTATATATCACTGAGTGTTGAAACAAAACACAAGCGAGAACTTGTATTTCTCATGAGATTTCACAGTTCATTCCAACTCAGAAAAACCATAGTTATTCAAGCCAGAATCTCAGTAAAACTGAGAATTATTTTTTTTTCAGATAAATTGTATTGTAAAAGTTTAGATATCATCATGGAAATATTTATCATAATTTCACACTTCTTTTACAATATGAAATTCAGGTTTGATATCATTATCGTGAAACAAAAAGCTGAACATTCCAAAGTCAATGTTTAAATATCTGTTAAGTAATGTTTTCTGTGGAAAAAAACTCTTTTTTAATTTTCTTGACTACTTTGTCACAAAATCCGTAGAAACCATTCTGATATGTAAAGGCAGCATGATAAAAAGAGTATATTACCCATTCAAATTTCAATTCACTCATTTGTGTTCCATTAACATGTGTTTGCAAAGAACATGGAAATAAGGACAAGACACATGGAAATGAATAGCATGCAAATCACACTATCCAAAGTCATCGCAAAAAGTTCCTCCCATCTCAAAAAAACATGCAAAGATCACCAGAGAGAAATATTTCTTACTGGTGGGACATTCTGCAAAGGGACAAAATAAACCAAATGCTTTGAGGAATAAGAAAGATCTCTAACCTGTATTCATACATGTAACAGGGCGCTCGTTCGCTCAACAGCAGGAGAATTCTCATATCCAGAAACTGTGTGTTCTGTCAGCCTCACAACACTACTGTACAGAAGCTGCTGTAGCTTTGCTTTACTCCTCTGGATTTTCTAGGTCTTTCAAAGTGTTTAGCTCACTGGAGCTAACAGGATGCAGCTGCATACACAGGTGATACAAGGTGATGAACTGGGTCTGCTTTGCTCATCTTCATGACTGCAGGATCGTTATCCCTGTCTAACAGAGTCCCAACAGTGCAATTCCCTTTTTTCTTAAATATTTTCAGATCTAATGAGGGTGTCTGGCAGTTTTGGTCCTTATTATAATACTGTGTTCTACATTATATTTTTTGTAATAAATGTGAATACACATTTATTACACCTCTGTACTTTTTATTACTGCCTCTGTACAGCCCAGAGCAGACACCTGTGGCAGAGACCAAGCAAGGAAAGACAGTATCTTGGACTACACAGCATCACAGTAATAATCAACAGTGTCTCGATGTCCACTTATATACCACGAAGGTTGCCAAGTGTACTAGGGTAATATGAGGTGGCGAATTAGGTATGCTGCACTACCAACTATGACCTAATAGTTATTATTAAATATTAGCCACTTAGTGCCTCTTCATGTCAAGAAAAGTGGCAGCTACTCCTCCGTTACTTTTGCCAACAGTGCAGATGCAACACAGTGGAGAGATCTATCTTTTATCATGCTGTATCATGGAGGAATGATGACAGTATCTCCCCTTCAGTTCAAAAGCAAAGAATACAACATGATCCAACACTTTTTAACCAATGCCATCATAATTATCCTTTCATAAACCTGGTAAAAGTACAATTGGATTCTAATGCAATTGTTAAAAAACTAATTTCATGTTACTGAAATTAAGCAACTAGCCAAGAGCAAAGTGAAAAGAGAAACATTTTAGTAAAGGCTGTTTACAGTAATCTTTTTATCCTTTAAACAATCTTTATTCTACACTCCTTTTGCAAAAAACTCTGTCAGTGCAAAGTGGCAAACCATGAAAGGTGAAAATGGAAAAACTTCCACATTATTTCACGTTACTACTGAACAGTAGCAAGTAAATATCAAGTCCCATCACTAACATCTTTTCTTTCCCCCACCAACTTTGACAAGTAACTATACTACTCTTTTATCCCCCACATTAAAGTTTTTCCATCTATCCACTACGTGGTATTGGAAGTTAACTTATCAATTCAGCTCAGTGAAAGAATTTGCAGACTAATCTAAACCAGGGAATATCTTCATTCGTAAAAAAGAGCTCTTTGATGCACTGCAAAGCTAGCTGTCCTAGATTTCTGTAGCTACCTGCGTATAAAATTCTTCTGGCGTACTTGAGGAAAAATGTGAAATATTTGACAAAAGTACTGCTCAGTGTGATTAAAGATAGCAAAAATCTGACCTGAAGATTGTTTCTGGAGACTACAGCAAGTCTTTATGAGCATATTCTTGCACCTGAGAATCTCAGCAGTAGGCCTCGCTTCAGTGCTGTGATTTCATAGCAGAGAAACATTAAGTAACTTTTGACCATCATTCCAGAAATAGAGGAGGGAAAAAATCAAATTTACCTCTATTGCTTCTCTTTCTGGCAGCACAGTTAGAGCCATGAGAGACTGATTTTTCTTTTCCTTTAGGGGAAAGGGGGCAGGGCGGGGGGCAGAAGCAGAGGGAGGAAGGGAAAAGTAGCTGATTAAATTGTTCACCCAGTTCCAGTCACCTGCAGACAACTGACACTAGGTCAGCTGGAGTCCATCAGGCCCTGCAGAAAAAGGTTCCAAGAGTGTATCCAAAATTCTGATCATTTAATATTCACCTAACTGGGAAAATGCTGGCTAGACCATTTTGCATCCTATGTAAACAAATACCATTTGAAAGCAAGACTTTCTCATAGGCTCTTCTATAAATCTGCTGCAGAACTGCACCACTCATAATAGGTGCCTCCATAAGAACTCCTACTTTGTCTCTCCCTTTGTTTCTACCAGCTATAAAGAGGGAATACGCCTCATCAGGCTGTGGTTGTTCTTTGTACAGGAACCACTCAGACCTTACAGGGAGGCTGGGTGTCCGTACGTTGCATGACAAAAACACCATGGTTTAAGGCTTACCGGGTTAGTCTGCAAAGTGGTGTCCTAATGATCCTAGCTTGTCTCTGCTGGAGTTTGTGCGCAGAGTCCAGAAAAAGGGAATATTCACATGAAACAGCTAAATACATTGATGGGTTCTACCAGCAGATTCATCTCCTGGGTCTGCAGGCAGGAAAACTTGTTCCAGCTCATGTCTTTATAATGGGATGTATCCTCCAGCTGTCTTTTACTTCCACAAATTTTCTTCAGCCTTTCTTCTGTACCTACTCCTGCCAAGCTGTGAAAGGGAGAAGCTCGATAATTAAGAGGTAGGGCAATTTAAGGGGAAAGCACAACTTCTGCACCCATATATTAGTTATTAGTTCAAAGCTACAGCACTTCTGATGAATGGCAGGGTCCTGTATTTCCAGTCAGATGTCATTAACCTGCATGGAAGAGTCAGGCCTCTGCACTTCAATCATCCGTGACCCAGTTTAGCGGTGAACTTTTACAGGGTTCCTATCACACTTTGAACTGTCAGCACTTCCGAAGTATCATTAAATCACAGAACTCCCCACTGCCTATCATTAACTCCTGAACAATCTTCTCCTGTCGAGAGGACAAAGCTTCAGGGTGGCGGGGCGGGGAGGGGGGAAGAATAAGATGCAACCAATATTTCATCATTCTTGAATAAAAGATAATGCAGTAGTGCAAAGAACTGAAGACATACACTGCGGTTATCACATAAAATTAAAAGCTTTTTAGTGTTTAAAATAGCATTTACACATAAGCAGCTATATATTAACTATACAGACACTTGGGTTTTAATACAATATCTACAAAAAAGAATTCAATTATGCAATAGACATTTAACAGGAACAGTGCAGTCCATGCTAGTAAGAGGTCACTCTTTGAGTAGAACCAATTCTAGAATAGGTGATAGT